GTCAAACACAATCTAAGATTTTAGTAAACAAGCTTAGGTCGAGCTCGACTCATTTATTAACGAGCTGAGCTCAAGTTGGGTCAAAACTCGGCTCGACTCGGCTCATTTGTAGCCCTACTTGCTACCAGAAAATAGCTTAGTAATCTCACTGAAAATTTCCAGTTTCTCAATGACAATGTCAGCAAAATCTTAGTGCATACTAGTAGTGATATTGTTGTATTGACTATACCACTGCCTCAAACGAGAGAAAACCTCTCTATACACAATGGCAACATATAGCATATCATAGGTGGAATTCACCGTGTTGGACTGCTTAGCGGTTTGAAAGAAGGTCTGTACCTTCCTAGGAGTGGACTTCCAGTACACAACACTCTCTCTAACCAAATCAATGTCATCCTTGATGACCTCCAACCCATCTTTCACAATAAGATTCAGATTTTAGCAGAACATCTCATTTGAACCAACATACATTCATGCTTTTAAGCTTCCAAGAATTGTCAATTAAATGGTCAGACACTGCCATAAACCCCCTCTTTTGGTTGGTTGCAGTGCACATATCAACGGTCACTGCAACTTTACCAATATTAATATCTAGAACATTCTGAAACTTTGCCATTTCAGCCGCATATAACCCCATTTTATCCCTCTTCACTGTATTTTTACAAGGCACATTGAACTGGGGTTGCAAAGAACAACAAAAACGTTTAAACCCCAAGTATTCAACAATATTCAGGGGATACTCATTCTGCCATGCACCATAATCATAGTTTACAACTACTTCCTAGACACATCAGAATTGAATTGAGTAGCATATAGGAGGGGTTTTCTAGTTGGTTTATAATCAGGACCAAGAACTCTCTCTCTCTCTCTCTCTCTCTCTCTCTATATATATATATATATATATATATATATGGCGAGTTCTACGGTACCCTGGGTGAAATTCGGGGTACCGCATACCTTGAGTATGAAAACACTATCTAGACCTTGAATTGACCGATCTTTCGGACATGATACTATACTCTAACACTTAAAGATCAAAATCTAAGTGTTAACTCTCCCAATCTTATACTCCAAGATCAATTTAATTAGAAATAATAATCGACGGTTATGATTCATCCAAATATAGGCACAAAAAGGAATGCACCATCTTAGGGTTTATAGATTATGATTTAGATAATTATGACCTAGGGTTCACTCATTAAGGGTTAAGGGTATAATATCAGACACAAAAATCCTGGTAATTCGAGGTCTAGATAGAGTTTACATACTCGAGGTATGCAGTACCCCGGCCATAGAAGCCACCATATATATATATATATATATATGAGGAGTTCTACGGTACCCAGGATGAAATCCGGGGTATATCATACCTTGAGTAAGAAAACGCTATCCAGAACTTGAATTGACTGATCTTTTGGACATGAAACTATACTCTAACCCTTAAAGATCAAAATCTAGGTCTTAATTCTCTAAATCTTATATTCCAATATCAATTTAATTAGAAACAATAATCGAAGGTTATGATTCGTCCAAATATAGGCAAAAAAATTAATGCACCATCTTAGGGTTTATAGTTTATGATTTAGATAATTAGCACCTAGGGTTCACTCAATAAGGGTTAGGGTATAGTGTAATGCCCAAAAATAATGCTAATTCGAGCTCTAGATAGCGTTTTCATACTCAAGGTATGCGGTACCCCGGATTTCACCCGGGGTACCATAGAAGGCACCATATATATATATATATATATATATATATACCATCATGTATCTTTCTTTCGGTGCAAGTTTTATACTGGTTCCTCAAGTGAGAGGTTCCATTACTAGTAACACGACCTAATCGTTTTCGACAGTTCCTACACTTAGCTTTAATTTCCCCATTAAACTTCACCCTCGCAAAATATGGCCAGACATCATAAGTCAATTTGCGATCTTCCTCAAGAATTACTTCAGCATTTTCATTTCCATTTGTCAAGACATCATTACCAGAACCATTAGCAGTAGCATAACCATTACCGTATTGATTACAAGGCATAGTAGAATCATTCACATTCAAATCACCATTTTCAGTAGCACCATTCATCTACATAAACAATAAAACAATTGCATGTAATCAATCAACCATAACAACTCAGACAAATCACACATGCAATCGAGAGTTGAATTGGAGTAAGGCTATGCCTAACCTGTAATCTGGAGAGGGAGGCTCTGTTTACCAGACTACAGATGGTGAGCTGATGCCTAATGCACCTGAAGAACTCCCAACAAAGTCAAAACAAACAATATATCATTTGCATTCATAAACTAATAAAGACCTAGCTAATGAACCTGGATAAGGAAGGTTCATTAGTAATTACCGCGATTGTGCTCTGAGCAGAGTGAAGGCAATAGGTGCAACTCAATACGAAAGGAAAAGGGAGAAAGAACTTATCTCGGTGTGTGATATCGCGCCAATTTCCCCAATAACGGCAAATCAAAGATTTTTCAGTCAATTTAAGATTATGCATGTTGTTCCCCGATGAAATTGCCGGCAAAACTAGCCCCCAATTGGTCAAATTGGGAGATAATCATTACCTACTAGCAATCGTAGATATATAAATAGCCTGGATCGGGAGGAATTCATGGGGAATCAACGAGGTTTTGGAGCGAAATGAATGTTTGGGGGATTCGATGGAGAGAAAATTGGCTAGGGATCTAGGGTTTGGTGAGGGTCTCGAAGGGGATTGGAGCAGTCAGATGGGGAAGCCAAGAAGAAATGAGGATTAGGGTTTCCCCTGTCCTTCATTTGACTTCGAAAATGACTTCGTTTTATGATACCGGGCGGGGATGTGGCGGATACCACGACCTCTGTTGCCACACATCACCCGCTATTCACGGGTTTTGGGCATATACTCGAATCCACCAAATACCCACGTCAGACTGGTAATTTGGTCACCATTTGTGCAAGTTTCGGATGGGTTTCCAAGCCTATAGATAACGAACGCTATGTTTTTTTTTTGTCAAAAGATATCATATATTAATCCAATCAAAAAGATAGTTACATCCTGGATAGCAGCCAGGCCCTGAAATCAAAGAAACGATTTACAGTCGTCAGTCGGGTACAAAGAGAGGGTTTTTCTAGCTTCCGAATGAGCTACCCTATTGTTCTTCCGAAAATACTGACAAATCTCTTCCAGGACGGCCCCCAAGTGACTACCGCTCGTGTTGGCGTGATTAATCTTATCAATAATGACCTTCGCATCACCCGCGAACCTAACTTCGGACAAGCCACACTCTAAACACCAGATGATAGCCTCCCGAAGCACAAGCAACTCCACTACCAGTGGCTCATCAATTTGCGCAAATTGCACACCTTTAGCCCTAAGGAGCGTCCACCCCGGATCAAAAAGAACCATCCCACCAACCGAGTGGGACCCCCTCCTAGTGGCCCCATCCCACATGCAAACCAGACGAGAATCAACCACTTGGGTCCCTGGTTGAACCACCGGGCAGGATATCCTCGTCGGCTGGTCAACCGGCAGACCCACCCATTCCTCGTACTGTTGGTGAAATTGGTGCATTAAAGCTGGAATCCCAAACTGTTTGCCTTCAAAGACAATCCAGTTCCGCGATCGCCAGATCCGCCAAAGGATGGCAACCACATCCATAAACAGCGACGGGTGGTGGACAAGGGCGAGCATCCGCTTAAGAAACAACAGAAACGTGTGCCGAGGCAAACCGTCCCCTAAGTATTCCAATCCCGAGTAGTCCCAGAGAGCCCGCGCGACCGGACAGTAAAGAAACATGTGCTCCATAGTCTCCGGACCATCCCAGCATACCGGACATCGGGGCAACACATGAACCTTCTTTTCAATGAGGGACTTCGTGGTTGGCAGAACCTAATGAAGAATTTGCCAGACAAAGACTTTCAGCTTAGGAGGAATCTTAGCGTCCCACAGCCGGATCCAGCTTTGCCTAACCATCTAACTAACCGAGGCCCGCCACCCACCCCTCCTCCTGTCTAGCTCAACTGCCAAATGATAGGCCGTCTTAACCGAGAATACCCCATCAGGAGTGTTATGCCAGATCAGTTTATCATCTACATCCTGCCTCGAAAGTGAGATAGCCTTAATGGCTCGACAGATAGATGAGTCAAACTATTAACAAAGCTTATCCGGCCGCTACGGTGAAGGAGAATAGAATGAAAATTGAAAAGGGGAACACTCGGGCCTTATTCATATTCGTGGGTCGGGTCAGCCCAACCAGCGACAGCAACCATATCTGTCAGCCGTGCCGGCCATTGCAATCTCTATCTCTCTCCTCCACGCTCAGAAGCCGCTAGTTAGAGAAAAAAGAACAAAAGAAGAGTTGCTACTTCTTGCCTCCTGGTTTGGTTTTTGCCAGCAATAAATGCAAGGCCCCACCTTTCTATCTCACAGCAGTCTCACTTACCTGTATATCTAGTGCTAACGCCCAACGCCCTCTTTCTCTCTCTGGCCCAAGTTGCGATTTTGCCATTCACAGCCTAGATAGAAAGTGCGAACCCAACGCCGAGCTGATCAACAAAGGGAAGAAGAAAAGGGGAAAAAGGTAAACCTTCTGTTTTTCTCTTTCTATCTTCTGAATTTCCTCGAATCTCCTCCCCTGTGAAATGATTCGCTTCATACTGCCTTCTTCTGTGTTTTAAGTAATATGTCGTTTTCGGGGTTTGATTTGAGTTCGTGGGTTGGGCGCTTTGGCTCCTAAGGATGAATGCTGCCAACCTGTTTGTGTTTTTGCCTGTGAGAAGGGAAAGTCTCTAGTCATCAGATTTTGCCAAATGCCATGGGCTGTTCTTTGTTGTTTTTTCTGGGTTGGATGAATTGCGATCCGCAGATCCACCGAACTTGTATTTGTTCCTAGTTTTCCGGCGCGTTTTCCTGATCGGTATCTGGAAAAGATAAAACGTTGAATTCAGTCCTGTAGTTGGATGGGTTCCATTTCTGAAAATGGTAACTTCTTTACTCTGCACTGTTTACTGGGATTACTGGTTGACTCTTGTTGGTGCTGTTTTTATGTCGTTGACTGAATCTTTCCTCTTCACCAAGCTAGTGTTGTGCTGGATTTTCTAGCTTGCCAAACAGGGTGAGTAAGCAGGAAGGAAAATTGCTTTGAGTTTTTCCTCCAATGATTAATTATTGATTAGTTACTTCATATCCTGTTGCTCTCTTGCTTTAGGCAATCTTTGATTCAATTTTGACAAATTTCGCACCCTTTTCTTTTTCGTCCTTTTCTGCCTTTTTCTTAAGTTTTCTGCTTTATCCCTTCTCGATTTTCTCTCCGAGTGGGAATTCGAAGTCTCTCAAAATTCTTCCCAGCCCTCCATCTCTGTTCCAATTCCTCCCTACTTTCCTTTTCCCCTTATCTTCTTTTCAAAGTGAAGGAGAGTTCTCCCTTTCCCATTTCAAAACTCCTTCCACAAGTTGGGCTGTCGTTGCCCTCGGATTTCTCAGCAACCAATCATCGTAGATCCTTAGTTGATGGTTGGGGCTTGAATATAAACAATGGGGTCTGGTTGGAATGCTGATGTAATTGAACGGGTCGAACTTCCGTTTCAATCTTCGCTGTGCTGAAGTGAGAGGTACCCAATTTGGGAATGGAGCGCTGCATTTAATTGTCATCTACTGTTTTGTTCCCATTAACACATTAAGGCGGTTTCACACCAACTTTAAGAGGAGTTTCTCTTGTCTGTATCTGTGTATTTGCTTGTCCATGTGTCTGGGGGCGAAGAATAATAAATGGTCCAGCTCCGTATGTTTTGAGGGTTTTTGAGTTCTTCTGTAAGCTGGGTTGGGCTTGCAACTTTTGCAAGCTGTTGCAAAGTCTAGGACAAAAGCTTCCATCTGTTAGAAACAGGACACTTAAATTTTGAGGTTTTCCCCTCTTGTTTTCCGGGGTATGTTCTCGGTTTGATCCTTCTTTTGTTCCGATTTTTCCTCCGTTTCCTGTCTCTATTTGCTTGAAAATTGTTTATTCTCTTAGTAGATTGGGTTGCCTTACATAGTGATATCCTTCAAATGATGTGTCAACATGGATGGATGCTCTAGGAAGACAAAGAGACACCAGGACAGCCTTTCAATTGTATTATATTCCAAAGGTCACATGATAACATGAATAAGATAATAAGAAAAGAAAGGAAATGGATTTATAGTAGTTGTCTGATCCTTTTTTTTTCTTCTTCTTTCTTGTAGAGGTTTGAGGTAAGTTGAAGTTCTGCCAAATTGTGCAATAAATAACTCATTTAAATTAATGTCTCTTTCTTTGTTTGTTGCTCTCAGCTAATTTGGCCTATCGATCGGGGCAACTGTGGCGGATTGCTTTTGACTAGAGGATAAAAATGGGACCGTGGTTTTCCCAATATTGGAGGTCTTAATAAAGGAGGGTTGTGGTTTTTATGTGTGGAGATCTTTGGAGGCTCTGGATTGGTTGACCATTCACAGCTGTTTGGGAAGCTCCATGTGAGATCTGCCCTGGCAAACAGAAAAGACCCCCTTTTACTTGCAGCTAGAGATGCCTTGTTGTTCATTCTGAGGAAAATGGGAGCTTGTTGTTCAACCAGCACTAGGAGTACTTGTAGCAGCAGGAGCAATGGAGAAAAAGGCCCATCACCTCGCCTGGGGATCAGGTTTTGTGGGCAGAAGAGAACCAAGAAGACAGTTTCTGATCATACAATGACACTGCAGCATTTGGCCTCCATACCTAACCGGATCTTTGCCAATGGAAAGAGCAGAAGTTCATGTATCTTCACACAGCAAGGCCGCAAGGGCATAAATCAGGATGCCATGATTGTGTGGGAGGTGCGTTTCATTCCTTACTTTTGGATGTTAAAGACTTTCTATTTCCTTCTTTTTATAAAAAAAATAATTGATGGGTTTCTATTGCTCTAGGATTTCTTGCCAGAAGATGTGACTTTTTGTGGAGTTTTTGATGGCCATGGACCACACGGCCATCTTGTTGCCAGGAAAGTGAGGGACACCTTGCCTGGAAAATTGATGTCTTTCTTGGACACTAATCAGCCCAAGCAAGATGGGTCGGGTCAAATATGCTGTAATGGAAATTCTAAGAGGTTAGAAGATGGAGGAGACCTTGAGAAAGATGGATCAATCGAGGACAAATTGGATTCTTTGTGGAGAGAAGCATTTATGAAGTCTTATAAAGCCATGGATAAAGAGCTCAAATCCCATCCCAACTTGGACTGTTTTTGTAGTGGGAGCACTGCAGTAACGATAGTGAAACAGGTACTTTTAATAAACCACAGTTGTTTCTCTCCATATTTTTGATTGATTTAGCTGTTCTCTCATAGTTTGTTTCCGTGTGGGATCTAATTTCCAGGGCTCTAATCTGTTTATGGGGTATATTGGGGATTCTCGTGCGATCATGGGTTCCAAAGACAGCAACGACTCCATGGTGGCTATCCAGTTAACTGTTGACCTAAAGCCTGATTTGCCAAGTAGCTGACATATTCTTACAATTCCTCTGTTTTTTTGCTTTTCTCTGACTTGTTCATGCGAACGAAACCAAGAATTTGATTTCAAATCTATGAAAACAGGAGAGGCTGAGCGGATTAAGCGGTGTAAAGGTAGGGTCTTTGCTTTACAAGATGAGCCTGAAGTTTCAAGAGTTTGGTTGCCATTTGATGATGCCCCTGGCCTAGCAATGGCCCGTGCATTCGGAGATTTTTGTTTGAAGGAGTATGGAGTAATATCCATACCAGAATTCTCTCACCGGCTGCTGACTGAGAGAGACCAGTTCATTGTTCTTGCTTCCGATGGGGTATATTATTCTCACCTCTGGCCTTTCATACTTCCATCACTTTAGTTTCACATGTCAAATAGATTTTCACCTCAATGACACAGTTAACCTGGAGCTTTCTTCTTTGCAAAATTTCCATCTACTTACTGTTGAATGTTGATCCCCTCAGAGTTGACTTTTGGGAATTGCACAGTATGTCTGCTATATTTTGAAATCCATTGTTTGGTTCATGGAGTAGTGCGATGGGTTGTGGCATGTGGATCATGTGTGGGTCCCATAAACAAATGAAAAAGGGTTTGAAATGCCATTACTTCTAACATAGGGATCCATCACTGGATTCATCAGCCAAATGACCCCTCACTATTCTGCAGACTGTAAAATGCATAACTGGTACTGAAAAGGTTGTTTTTGTTTGTGGAGAGTTTCTAAGTCGGCATTATTAAACAGGTGTGGGATGTTTTGAGCAACGAAGAGGTGGTGGACATTGTGTCCTCAGCTCCAGCTCGGTCGTCAGCTGCGAGATTAGTGGTGGACTCAGCTGCTCGGGAATGGAAGCTCAAATACCCGACTTCCAAGATGGACGACTGTGCAGTGGTGTGTTTGTTTCTCGATGGGAAAATGGATTCGGAATCGGACTGTGAGGAACAAGGGTTTTCATCTGCAACCCTACAAAGCAATCACTCTGGTAATGCAGCTGAATCAGATGATGGGGGGCAGCAGAAGTCCGAGCCATGCCTTCAACGGAACTTCACAGTGAGGTCCTCGGAGGAAAACGAGGCGTACGGAAGACCAGCAGGGGGTGATGGGACGACGATAGGTGCCGCCGAGGATGAAGGTTGGTCAGGGTTGGAAGGCGTGACGCGAGTGAACTCACTTGTTCAGCTCCCGAGATTCTCAGACGAAAGACCAAGCACTTAGAAATCATTGTTTCGCCCCCAGTGTTGACTTTCAATTCGGAGGAGTGACTGTCTGAAGCTGACTCATTGTTTGGGTTAGATTCTTATGTTAAGATTCTAGTGGTGCTTTCTGGCAATGCCAGAAGTTTGTGCAGGAGGTCAACTTTGTTGCTACTGCTGCTGCAGCTACCTGTTTGTTTGTTTGTAGTTGTCACACAGGGTTGCGTTGTAGTGAAATGGGGGATACTTTGTCAGTGTCAATGGATTGAACTTGAAGCAATACATTTTGTGTGTATGATATTATGAATTTGTATCTGAAAGTTGACTGGTGGTATCGTGGATGAAATGTTCACCTCAAAAGTAGTTAAGATGCTGCTTTCAGGGGTTTCGTTTTATAATCAACTGAAATGATCATATCACCTCAAAAAGCAGTTGAGATCGTTTGGACATTATTACACCAACAATAAGGCCGGCCGGCCGGCTGGCTGGTTTGGCTTCATTAAAGTTTGTAGGCTCAGTGAGTCTACGGATACTTGTGTCGCTTTTAGATCCTATTTCGAATATCATATTGCCAAGATCGTTCTGGTTGAAGTTTGTTTGTAAAGCCAAAAGGAAAAGGACGAAGTATGGGTCTTGAGTTGGACTTGGAAGAGGTAAGCTTAAATGATTATGGTATAGTGTAAAGGACAAAGATTGATGATGACTTTATTTATGGGCCGTCGGAGCTGGTGAATGTTACCTGGCCAGGATGAAATGTCCACATGCTTTGAAAGATGACTTGGATTGGATGGTTTATTTTCATTCCTTTCCTCTTTCTTCATACAATCGCATACCAATATACTATAGTGAGTGAAACTAGGGGTGGGCATACGGTTCGGTAAAACCAAACCGAATTCAAACCGAACCGAAACCGAATAACATTACTTCGGTTCGGAATTCAGAAGAGAAAAGGGTATATTTCGGAAACCAAGGTCCTTTCGACCGAACCGAATTTCCGAATTCCGAACCGGTTTTCCGAATTACTATAATTGTAAGTTCCTAATGGTGAATTTTTATGTTTGTACTTATTATGAGACTTAAATATTTGAAATATGTTAGTGTTTTATGAGTAATGTGTTGAAATGTTTGATTTTATCATTGATGATGCATTTAATTGCATATTTATTGTTTACATTAGGGGTGAAAAATAATTTGAAAGAGAAAAAATACAAGCTAACCTCACAATTTTGGTTTTTCATACAAAACCGAACCGAACCGAATTATAATTCGGTTTGAACCGAACGAACCGAATTATAATTCGGTTCGAATTTGGTTTGAGGTTTGATGAAACTCGGAAACCCGGTATACATTATTTCGGTTCGGTTTGAACCGAACCGACCGAATGCCCACCCCTAAGTGAAACGGCCTCTCAAGGAAATGAGGTGGATATCTTGATACTAATATTCGCATTGTTGTTGGTCAGATTCAGATCGAGTACTTTATTAAAAAGCGCAGGTCGGGGTAGGTTGATTCATACGTTTGTGTAATTTAAAGGTAAAATTTTAGTAATATTGATTTTTTTTCATTTTAAGAAATAATAAACAAACTATAACATGATAAATCTTTAAAATTATTTGAGAAATAAGAGTTATCGTCTATTTACAATATTATTAAAGTTAAAATATGAGGTGATATTAATAAAATGATAAATAATTTTAGTACAATTACATGAAATACAGGCAAGAATGAGTCGAGAATTGTGCACAACATGTTGATGAGTTAGAATGAGTTTGTTATATTTTCAGGTTCTTTTTATTTGATAATAGCATTTGTTAAGGATAAACTTAAACCAATTGTATGTACATACAAGATAAAGGGAGTTCAAAGTCAACGCCAATGCAAAGCACTATATCAACCGGGAAAGTGATTTAATCCCTTTGCCAATCTAGAGAATTCACCAAATGGGAGCCGAAAGTAATATATATATATATCCTAACCTCGGTAAACCCCAGTGTCTAATTTTCTAATTCAAATCATGAGATTTGTTTAATATTAAAATGAAAATCAACAATAATTTCGATGAATCAGAATCGTTGATTTTGATTTCAAGATTAAATGAATATTATGCTTTCTATTAGTGAATTGGAGACTGAGATTCACCTATTAGGAGTTAAGGTATAGTATCATGCCCCAAACTCCGGGTAATTCATTGTCTAAATAGAAAAACTCAACAGGCGTACGATAGGCTAGCGTACGCCAGGACTTATGCTAGTCTTTGCCATATATATATAACTATTGTGGATAAACATTTTGTTGCAACAATATAATTTTTTTTTTCCTCAATTGCAATTCTTTTGGTTCTATTTGGTGTTCAAATTCAATTTCGGTTCGTTTTTCTTCATACTAAAATAATTCATACCAAGATCAAAACGAAAAATATCGATCGACTTGATTCTATCCAAGTATCAATTTAGTATGATTTGATTTGGTGTAAGCTCGATTGTTGCACACTCCTAAGCTTGGGTAATGCATAACGATAAATGTATGTGTTGGTTGGTTCTCTAGAGCTAAACTACTTTGATACTTGAGCTATCAATTGAGACTAGCTTACCATTTCTGCTATTTCTTTTAATTGATGCATGTTTTTCAGTGGTGAGTTATTATATCTTAGCGTAATGACTCATTAAGTTAGATTTGGTTGGTGGTGATTTATGATTAGCACTTTTGACATTCGATTGAGTCTTATGAGGCGTCATTTCTATAATTGTTATTTTCCTATGACAATTCATATCATTTTAAGATTACAATAATGTCTACCTCATAATTCTAAAGTTTGCATTAGAACCCATGAGTTAACATTGTACTAGTAATATCGTTCATATATTTGTGTTTGGATATTCAGATATTAATAGGAATAATTATCTTCTCAACAGTGCATTATTTTGGTTCAATTCACTGCAATTATAGCTCTTTAAAGAAATGAGCAACTGAACTGAATGCCTGATCCAGAAGGTATTGTTACATGCACTTCGAAAATTGCAATATGTTTACAACCAGTCTTGGCACCTTGACCACAAGAGTCAGAATAGCTACCAGCTAGAGCGAGAGGATTGTTATATGAATCAAAACCAAGAGGGGCGAGTTTGCCTCTTAAAGTGAACCACCAGAAAACCTTCTTGATCGACGGTAAAAGGATCATGAGCAAAATATGACCCAAATTTTCGAGAAGTTGTCGTGTCGTCGAGACCCATATGAACCATCCACAACACAATGATCGTATCTGATTCAGATACGGGTGGATTTGTGGGTTCAACAACTCAATCCTACACCTCCCCACAATTAAACCTTCCCCTTTTCGGCCAGGAGCCAAATCAAAGAAAACCTGCAATGCCTTTACTCTGGAAAACGCAACACTCCTTAATAAATCACCGCAGCAGATTTCACCTAACAGAAGAGAGTTAAATGGGTGGTATTCTTCACGTACATACCTCCATAACATCTACTTCTCCGCCAAAACATCAACATGTATTCTCATATGCAACACAGTGATCAATATTAATAGCCGCTACCAAGCTGACGAAACTAGGTGGGCGATTCTGAGTATTTAAAAGGAGCATCAGAAAATCCCCATCTCCTCAATTCATCAACCACAAACCCCAAGAAGCTCAAAATAGACCCTGCTTCTTTCTGAGCTAACAACATGGCTTCCAAAACTCCCCTCCTCGCTTTCCTCGTCCTGCTCATTGTATCCTGCAGTCAAGTGCTTGCAGGGCGCCCTGTCAAGGAAGACGCGAAGCAGCCCAACTTCTTCCAATCTGATAACTTGACTGTTCGGGGGATCGGAAGAGTGTTGCCTCCAAGGTTCCGCATTCCTTCTTTCAGGCCGTATACTGCTCCCCGCAAGTACATTCCAGGTGCTGATGACACATTTGTGCCGAACCCCGGATTTGAGGTCCCATTGCCTCAAAGGGGTCCTGCTGCTGCTCGCCCTTGACCTGCCATTCCTGCAGTTTTTTCTTCTGTTTCTGTTGCTGCAATAAGAGGAACTGGACCAGTTCCTAGATGCCCTGAGTTCCAGTTATTTGTAATGTTTCTTTAAATGTTGGTGTGCTTGAGTCTGTCCTGGTTTCTTGATCGAGACCAGATGAGTGCCCTGAATTTCCTATCTGGTATGACAATGAAGCTTTTGTTTTCTTGCCAATATGAACTTTATCTAGATTCTGCAGCCATGGAAAACCTTGGTTCCCTAAGCACAAGCTAACTTATGTGGATGAAAAAGTAGCAAACTTTCCATATCTCTGCATATATGGAAAGACCTTATTCAAAAGACAAAGACCATATTCAAATGATAACCACCATATGCAATGTACAGTTTGTAAACCTTGGTTCCCTAGCACCCATGTTGATCATGATTGAAATCTCATAATCCGCAGACAACGATAAAAACCAGAACTGGAGATAATTCCTTTTCCTCCAATGAGATTTGCCATAGCACTCAGAACTTGGTAAAAGTAAGAGAACCTGTTCGTTTAGTTGATCGAAAATTAACAGTAAACCAGTGTAAAAATACAACAGCAACCACAGTGAATTTCTCGAAAATAATGAATGTTACATTCTACAGCTTCGGTATAACAACTCTCTAAACCAGACCCGAAAGGCAGAGTCTGAATATTATGGCTAATAACTCCAGAAAGCAAATCACCGAAAGTCCGAAACTGATAAATTAGCGATAATGAAAGTGACAGCAGCGAACTGAACTGAAAGCCAAAATTTTGGTGTTTCAGGCGAGTTAAGAGAGAGAAACGAATCACCAAGCACCAACAATCTTGAAGACGATGAAGGAAAGGAAGCCCAGAAAAATGCACAGGAACAAGTAATCAACGAAGACGAAGAATTGTGTAGACCCATGATTCCTATTCTTCTTCGCCATCTTCTCTTTGTCGTAGTCCGACTTGGGCTCGTTGTCCAGCGGTTCGAGCTTCGCCATTGTGGCCGGAGCGGAGCTTTTCGCCAGTTGGTCGGAGATCTCTGTGATGGAGAAGAAGGAGGAGGAGGGTTAGCGGGGGAGCAGTTGTTTTGGGGATCTGAGATTTCTCTCAACCTTTTCTGTCCCCGTTTGTTGGTTGGAAATTGGAATTCCGCGCTAATTTCTGGTTCTATTTTATTTTAATTTAAGAGGACAGTAGCACTGGAGGAGGACCAATAAAACAAACCGAAATCCTAAACCGAACCGACCCGACCCGACCCACCTGAAAAATCTAAGAAAACCTGCAGATTGTGAACCGCCATTAGAGACTGAATTAAAGAATCTCCGATGCTACAAGCGGCGGGACTGAGGTCTCGAACCTCGCTGTGGTCCGCCCGTCGTTTTGTTTCACTTCTTCCGTCCCGTACCGATGGTGGGTTCGCACAAGAAACCCGGAAACTGGAAGCGCCTCAAGTTTTCGCCTCGAAAGTCAGGTGGATTCTTTCGGCCAGCGGTCTGCCTCCACCCGAATGGATAGAGCCCTTCCATGATCTTTCTGATGTAGCATGTAGATCTTCTCATCAGCTTAAACCATCTCCGTGGGTCAACCAGATACTCGGGCTTTTGGACAGTTCTTCGGGTATGGAGTCCAATCTTGACTCTTTCTGTACCAAGTTCTTGATCAAGCTGTCTCCAAATTTCGTGTGTTTTGTTTTGAAGTCTGTGGAGTTAGAGAAAAAGCCTGAAATTGCTGTGAGGTTCTTCGCTTGGGCTGTTAAGCAAACTAGGTATGCTCACAGCCTTGAATGCTACGTTTCTCTTATTGGTGTTTTGGCTGGAAATGGCGATTTGGATGGAGTGAAACGTGTGTTTCTGGAGTTGAGGCAAAAGGGTTTCTTGATGACTGTTTCACCCGCAAATTCTTTGATTAAGAGCTTTGGGAGTTTAGGAATGGTGGAGGAGTTATTGTGGGTGTGGCGTGGGATGAAGGAAAATGGCATTGAACCGAGTCTATTTACTTACAATTTTCTGGTGAGTGGTTTAGTTAAAGCATCGTATATAGAGTCTGCGGAGCATGTTTTTGAGGCCATGAGTAATGGAAAGATTCAACCAGATGTTGTTACTTATAATACATTGATTAAAGGGTATTGCCAAGTGGGCAAAACCCGGAAGGCCTTTGAAAGATTGAGAGACATGGAATCGACAAACTTGCCAGCAGACAAGATCACTTACATGACACTGATTCAAGCATGTTATGGGGAGAGTGATGTTGATACGTGTTTGTCTTTGTATCATGAAATGTGCGAAAGGGGGCTGGAGATCCCGCCTCATGCATATAGCTTAGTGATCGGAGGGCTTTGTAAAGAAGGGAGATGTATCGAAGGGTATACTGTTTTCGAGAATATGATTCAAAAGGGATGCAAGCCTAACATTGCAATATACACGGCTTTGATCGACTCCAATGCAAAAATTGGTAACACAGGAGAGGCAATGCTACTCTTTGAGAGGATGAAAAGGGAAGGGCTTGAACCAGATGAGGTTACTTATGGTGTCATTATCAATTGCCTGTGTAAGAGTGGGAGGTTGGAAGAGGCGATTAGTTATTTGGACTTCTGTAAAGAAAATGGAGTGGCAGTAAATGCTATATTTTACTGCAGTTTGATTGATGGTCTCGGCAAGGCTGGGAGAGTCGATGAAGCAAAGGGACTATTCAATGAGATGAGGGAAGAAGGTTGTCTGCCTGATTCATATTGTTATAATGCTCTGATTGATGCACTTGCCAAATGTGGTAAGATTGATGAAGCATTAGGTCTCTTTAAGAGAATGGAAGCTGAAGGTTGTGATCAAACTGTTTATACATATACCATTCTTATAAGTGGATTATTCAGAGAACACAGAAATGAAGAGGCATTGAAGCTATGGGATATGATGACTGATAAAGGCATTACACCAACACCGGCTGCATTTAGAGCCCTATCGATTGGGCTCTGTCTGTGTGGGAAGATAGCCAGAGCTTGTAAGATTTTGGATGAACTAGCACCGATGGGTGTTATTCCCGAGACAGCATATGAAGATATGCTTAATGTGTTATGTAAAGCAGGAAGGTTGAAGGAGGCATGTAAGTTGGCTGATGGGATTATAGACAGGGGCCGGGAAGTTCCTGGAAAAGTTCGCACTGCTCTACTGAACTCATTAAGGAAAGCTGGGAATGTAGATCTAGCCTTGAAATTGATGCATAGCAAGATTGGTATTGGATATGATAGAATGGGTAGTGTTAAAAGGAGAGTGAAGTTCCGAATTCTCCTTGATATCTAGTTTATCCGTATCTACCTTCAAATTTCTTCTGCTTTCATATAATGATCGAGAGATCACAGGCAACACAGAAATGTTTGCCTGATGCTCTATTCATCATGGAAATGGAATTTTTTTTGTTGACACTGCATTGGCTCCGGATGAGCCATAATCTGCCGTTTCAGAACTTGGGATGCCTGCCCGTTCTGAGTGTTTCAACTAGGGCTAGATGCAAGGAGAAACAGGCCATCACGTCATCTTGGGATTTAGTTTGGTGGGCAAAAAGAGAAGGAAAGGACGACCTCTGATCATTTGATGACATTACAGCATTTGGCTTCCATACCCAACTGGATCTTTGCCAATGGAAACAGTAGAAGTTCTTGCATCTTCACATAGCAAGGACGCAAGGATGTAAATCAGGATGCAATGATTTACGGGAGGTAAGTTTCATCTCAACCTTTGAGTTTTGTATGATCCTCTCTCTTTTCTGGGCTCTTTAATATTTTATCTATTTACAGTTGATCTGATACATGGAAACATTCGTCAACCCAAATCATCTGCAGACTGTGAAATGCATGCATGGTACTTATGGTGTTGTTTGTTTATGCAGAGGTACTAAAGTCAACATTATCATAGCAGGTTTGGGATGTGTTGATCAATGAAGATCGGCAGATTGTTTCAGCATGGTCCTCTGCTTCCAATTGGAAAGCTCAAATATCCAATTTCCGAGATGGATGACTGTTGCAGTGGTCTGTTAGTTCTGGATCGTAAAATGAATCAAGAATCTTCTCTGCAAACCTACACACCACTCTGGCAATAGAGCCGAAATAGATGATGCGCAGGAGCAGAAGCCCGAGCCAGGTCTCCGCCAGAAGGTCACAGTTGGATCGTAAAGAGACTTGCGGAAGACGAGCAGTAGCAGGGAGCCCTATCTTGTTACCTTCTAAATTTTGTCTGGCAATGCCAGAAAGTTTCTGGAGATCAAAGATGTTGCCTCCTTTCTTCTGCTGTATTATACTTCGTGTTGGAGCAATATAAGGTGTCAAACTGTCAATCTAGCAACTAGACTAGATACCGGTTTTGTATCGATATATGACTCGGTGTCTATAAAGTTAGGTAAATGCTACAGATTGAGTCCATACCTAACGATTTAATCGTAGCTTTTCTTCACTTATTTCTCGGTTGATAAAATCATGGGCATGGTTAACTCTCTTTCAGGCAGAGTCCGGACAAAATCAAATAATCAATGGCACTGTGACCTTTCTTGGTTGAAAATAGAGCAAATCTGCATATGTTCACTAAACCTTCTTTTGATGTAATGGATATCGTGTTACACAATCATATACACAGTATATTTACCATTCAATATACAAAGTTCCTCTATAAGATGAGACATGCCCTTTCAGCAGCTGCATTCCCTTTCGAAGGTGGCTGCCTCCATGGACCAGCAAGATGATTGATGAATATCCTAACCATTGCTACCAAGAGTGAAGACATCTCATTCGAACACCCTACTTCACGATTGATTTGATTCCTGCAAATACATGTCAGTGAAGTCGAAGGATGTCAGAAGCTGACTAGTATTTACCAATGAGGCAACTGAATTCTGCTCAGAACATATAATTCATACGCTATGTTTCTCAATTCTGGCTGTTTTCTGTCATCATAAAGAACCGGAAGAGTAAGAAAAATTCAATCAACTAAAGGGTCTTTGTTCAGAGTGGATTCAAAATCAATTGCCCCGCAGACGTAGAGATCAGGATTTGTCTGAGAGCTCATATTCAGCTGGAATTATGTTTTCTGATGTTCTTGTAGATGTATATTTTCACACAAGTTGAAGCAGTACAAAGAATGTGAATGACCGTTTAGCAATCCAACCTTGGAAGAAGAGTTGCCGGAAGAAATGGATTCCGTCTCCGAAGCTGCATCATCAGATATTCGGGCTTCTGACTTTTCGTTTGAATAGCTGAAAGAATTGAAATTCCAAAATTAGTGTTGCAGGTGATCATTCAAGCTCACGCAGAAACCATAAACAAAGGAAATGTTCCTCAGTGGAAGAATAAAGTTGGAGTATAGAGACAGTTCAAGTTGCTGAACATTTGATACTTACGTTGAGAGTATAGTAACCCAAATGAGCTCCACCGAGTCCACCCAAAGAAGCCTTTGTTCGACTGGGACGACGCCATAAGTAATCAAATGGGCAAATGGCCATAGCTTCCATCCAGCCTGTAGAGTAAAATCATGCACTGATGTGTAAGAGATCCAAGGACAGCCGGAACTTCCCGAAAGAGTAAGCTAGGGTCTACATGTACAAATGTATATGCTTCTTTAGTTCCACAAAGATGAACAGACTCTTACAGTTAGCATTGGCAAAAAAGTTGCCTTGAGCTCCCTAAAGATATTGGCAGGGGACTCAAATCGCAAGAAACCCAGCGCCACAAAATAGATGCTGTTCCAAATTGCAGCCCAAACTGTTTGATCAAATGCAACTTTGGCCGGGACAACCCACCAACCCTGGAAAGGGAAAAGAGTCTGGAACAAGCGGGAAAACATGGTAAGACCTTTTTATCACACCCCAACACAAACTCAGAAAAATAGAGCAGGTTGAGATAAATTGCAGTGACATAGCTCATCACCTCACAGAACTGATAGTAGTAATGAGAAAGGGAACCATGAAGTGTAAAGCCAACGAGGCCCGATCTGAACATGCGTGTTCGATCAAACTCAAACAGCGGTTTTCCCTCGTAGCACTGCATGAATAAAGCGATTGGGGTTTCAGAGCAAAGGAACAAAAACACACATCAAGAAAGAAAGGGGGTATCAAAGCAAACGCTTTTACCTGCGCAATCCAATCTCCAATGGAGTAGACGATTCCACTAATTGCCATTTTGGCCAACACAGGGTTTGATTTCAGAGCTTCTTCATATGCTTCCCAGTTGTGCTCGGGTGCATACCTTAGTATCTCATACAGAGTCCATCCCTGAAGAAGAAAGAAAAATGAAAAAAAAAGCGTTTCGTCAATTTTGAAAACCAAAAGTTCAAGCAAAATCCAAATTCTCTCAAACAGAGTTCTTTCTTCTTCTACCTAAATCACTTACATGCCAGTAATCATGATCTATCGTGAGCAACCTGGAGACAGCAAGTGTCCCGAAACCCAAAACGATGGCTGCATTAATCCCTCTGCTTACAATTCTCCCTCTCTCGTCACCGCCGCCTTCATCGACAAAAGCGGAAGAAAGAGGGCCGTGATCTTGAGAATCAGTATCGTTCACGGGAACCACTTGTTCCTTCTCTTCAGTGAAAGAAACGACGACGATTCGACTCCTGTTTCTTCTTCTCGAGCGAATCGAATTCGGTGACGGGCGGCGGGCGGAGAGATGGTCTAGAAAGACCGAGGAGGAAGAAACGGGGGAGCGTGGCTGTTTGGTGTGACTAGAAGGAAGAGGAAGGAGCTTGGGAATGGCTACACTGGTGGGAGCAAGAAGAGCCATGGATGACCATGGATGGAAATGTCGAGAAGAAGGAAGAAGAACAAGTGTGAAGGAAGAGGCCAAGTGGGCAAGAAATTCTTCTTGTTTTGGTACGGAAGAAGGTAAAGATGAAAAGATAAAGTTGAAAAAATTTGGATAGGTCCCACCGAGAATTGAACTCGGGTTACTGGATTCAGAGTCCAATGTCCTAACCGCTAGACCATGGGACCATGTCGGTGCAATTCTAGTGGATGGTTCCTACTTGACGTGGTTTAATACGAGCCCGATATGTTTGATGTTGAAATTATTTTAGTCCATGTTAGGGTCGAAAAAGTTAATCTAATAACTTGAAAATTCATTAGCAGATACTAATTGGTATCCAAAATACATGAACCAGTATCCAAGCACTAAAGTATCTAGAGAGCACAGACTAATATCCACCATGAATCAACTATTATCCTAAATTCACAAACTAATATCTAGACAACACAGAATAGTATCCATACAACACATAATTAGTATCCAGATAACACATAAGAGTATCCAGATAAAACATAAGAGTATCCATATTGAATACTAGTTGGTTGATTGTGGATATTAGTTGGTATCTGCTATCTGGATGCTAGTTTGTAATGTTTTGAATACTAGTCTGTACTATCTAGATACTTTAGTAAAATCAGCAGACTTGGATACTAGTTCATACATTTTGGTTATTTGTTAGTACTAACAACTTATGCAGTTAGCAGAATAACTAGTCTGTGTTAGGGGGTGGGATTTGTCCAAGTCCTGGTTATAATGAGCTAGGTCTCGACCAGTATAAATACCAATATTGTTATAACCGAATTGAACCAGAGTATGAGTTGATATAGCAAGTTGTTCACACTTTAGTGATTCAATCCTACCATATAGCAAACATTAGGATTTGTCTAGTACTAATGACACACATCAACCCTACCACTGAAGACAGGGCCATGTAAGCTCGGGTGTCTTAGGAAAATTATCGAGACTTAACATAGTCAGAGGACTTCCCTCCTTAAGTAAAAAAAATTATAATTCTTCTGTAATGCAAGTGCATTGGGAAAGCACACCAGAGAGTTTTTAAAAAGCAAGTTTGATATAATTAAACACTAAAAGAATACTTGAATTCATTCAAATGGAGTAAACTCAAAAAGATCCATACGAACTTTGGATAGGAAAGAAACCAAACCTTAGTTACCTTCATCCCTTTGGAAGTCCCTGCTTGCTTCATCTTAAATACAAAAGGTCATCTAGAAAATTTTGATTCCAGACTAGCCACTTTCTAGGATATTCTATCAGAAGCAAAACTTATAGGGTTTTGAACAAACAAATCAACAGAATTGAGGAATCCATCCATTTAAAATTTGATGAAAGTCAACAACAGAATGAAGTGGAATACTTTGCAATTAATCTCTTGTCACATTGATCGAGTATACTATTTTGAGTCCTCAAAACTTAGAACCTGCAATCCCAATATCTGCTAAACCTGAGGCAACTAACCCTCCTTCACATCATGCACATTCTCACATACAGAAACTGCACCCTCCTTCCTTGATCATAGGTGGTGCTCAACTAGTTACTTGATCTAAAGCTAATAACATTCTTGCTCATTTTTTTGTCCACTATGCATTTCTATCCCAAATAAAACCTAAGAATATTAAAGAGACCCTCTTAGATGAATATTGAAATCTAGCTATGCAAGAACAACTCAACCAATTAGCACGAGCTCGGGTTTGAGATCTTGTACGTCGACTTGAAAACTGACCAGTCATTGGATCCAAATGGGTCTTGAGAAATAAATATGATGAAACATGTAACATCATTAGAAACAAAGCTCGTTGGGTTTCCAAATGATATGATCTCGTTGGGTTTCCAAATGATATGATCAAGAAGAAGAAATAAATTTCAAAGAAACTTTTGCACCATTTTCTAGGATACCAGCAGGTTGTGCATTTGCTAGTACAAACAAAATTAAACTATATCAAATGGATGTCAAAGTACATTTCTAAATGAGTTTCTAAATGAAGATGTTATGTAGAACAACCCCAGGTTTTGTTCCGTTTTTTTTTTTTTTTTTTTGCTTTTCTTCCTTTAGAACTTGTCTTGAACATTTGTCTACAAAATTCAAGTTAAGATCTTTTTATGATGGCTAGAATCCCTTGAGCAATTTTGTATTGCAGATAGAAAAGCCGGGGGGGGGGGGGGGGGGGGGGGGGGGGGGGGGGGGGCTTTCCCTTTCTACGCTCATCTGCTAAAAAGGTAATAGCCACAGGAAAATCCATCTAATCCCTACTACTTGCTATAGTTGTAAATGTGTGATCGCAGGCAATGTAGTCAAAAGCGAGTTTCTACGTAGAAACGTTTTGGTCATCTAGAAGCGTAAAATCATAAGTTTTTTAGTTTTATAGCGGAGATTTTGTGTAGAAGCGTTTAAGTGCCTAGAACGTAAAATCGTAAGTTTTTAAGTTTTAAAGCGCGATTTTGACTACATTGATCACAGGATCTCCTAAATCAAAGAAATATCAAAAGAAGAAACTCCCAAATCAAAAGGAATACTAAGAGAAGACCGTTGCACCAAGAGGAAGTATAAGTATATAAATAGGAGGGAGCAACATGACAAGACTCGCAAAATGTGGCAGAACTATCCTACACAAAGCAAAATCAAATACTCTGCTTAGCAACGGTTCAAGCCCAACTCACAAGTTCAAACAACCAATAATTTTTTGTGGTATACGTGTTCTACAGTTAAATCGATCACAAGTTCAAACAACCAATAATTTTTAACTCCACAATTGTCAATTAGCATCTTATGATCGATTTCGAGACCAAGAACCTCCTCCTCGACCACGGACTGCAAAACTTTGAATCATAGAATTGCAGCGCCTCGTCGTGGAGCTTCTGGGGAATTTTTCGCTCCACAAGCTTTTAACACCTATGATACTATGTGAAATTGGACAATACATTGCTCTTTGATTAATACAATAAAGTAACGTTGCTATTTTATCTAATCAATAATTTATTCAAAGACAAAATTCAATTTTCACTGCAAGAAAATTAGGTTTTAGCGAGTAATATTTGCGGCACAAAATATATTTGCCTCTTAAAATATACTATAAACAACTAATACATTATTTGCCTCTAGAAGGGTTATTAATTGCCTCTAAAACGATTAGTACTTTATATTTATTTTTAATTGGAATGAGATATTGTTTTTAGCAACACATTTTTATAACTGTCCTCTAAACTTTTTCCTTCGTAACTATTTGAGAATAACTTTACTTTTTATATTTCTTATTATTACTTTTAGAGGCAAATCATTACTTTTTTTTTTCCAAAGATATTTCCAGAACGGAATAAGCTAGATACAAATAAGTGCATGACTGAAATAAGCCAATTAAAAAAATTAAACCGCGTTGGTCAACTGATATTGAACCAACGAGAGAGGGCCCTTTTTGGCATAATATGGACAACCCTTGGTACCTTAACGACATGAGAAATATCATGATTTCTTCCCTTAAAATGATCAAAATCATGAATTAGTCAGGCTGAAAATTGAAGCAGAGAAGCAAACTCTTGTAAATCTGATAGCAGATCAGCCTAGAAGCCTTTGCCGGATATACAGCTAATCCTACAAAATAAGGAACAAATGGACAAAGCCCCCAACCTCTATTGTTGAGACTCACTGGCGGAGGGAGCCAGGGAGGTGGAAGGGAGTGGGTCCTAGGACCCCACTTGGATAAACTTAAATGGTTATATGTATGGACATATTTGTTTAATTTGGGTAGATTTAAAATTCAGGACCCCATTCATATGGAATTTAATTATTCTACTATTATAAAACACACAAATAAATTAGACTATATTGGTCATATATCATTGAAAATCCCCAATTTTATAGTCCTTATTCTAAAAATTTCTAACTCTACTAAATATGTGTACGAAAACCTCCAGCAATATTTAAAAAGCTCTTAGTTCAACAAAATTTTCCTATCAATATACAATTTCTTTATCATCAAATGTGTTTTTATAAAACGTTTGTGTGTATTAGATTTTGCTTGGGAATTATTTATTATAGCTAGTTATTGAAATATTACTTTTCAATTATGAGTTACACAAAATGTAAGGTACAAATTTAATAACTAATGGTTTGATGAATGACAACTTGACTGAATATTTTTAAGAAAATATATTTGATAATTGAATACAATGTTATAAGATTTTTTTTTAAATGGGATCCCACTAAACTCGAATCCTGGCTACGCCACTGTTGAGACTAATACTTGATTAGCATGAAACTCTCCCGACTGCTGCAAGCTATGAAGTTCAATTGAAAGCCTGCAAAACTAGAAAACGAAATGCCCACCACTGAGCATAGGCACCCTGAGCATCAACCATGTTGTCCACTCCAGAACTCCGACTCCTGCAAAACAAAGAAAGCCAACTGCCCCTACAAGGCAAGTCAAGTTACCCGCAACAATGTCCAAATTATGGTAAAATTAGGGTAGGTAGCCTAATGAGCACCAAGTAGGCCTGAGCATTCGATTAGAATCATAATTAGATACTATTAGATTATATTAAAATCATAAAAGTCACAATTAAAAATGTTAAAAAAGTAAAACAAAGAAGCTGGTCCCACTCTGTAACCAAAGAAACAGTAGATACAGCGGCGGATCCAGAACACAGAAAAGCACTGGGCCGCATTACATTAGAAAATTAGAACCGTAAAAAAATATAATGATTATAGTTTTTTGCAATGTAAATTGTACACAACAATATTTTAATTTAGGGAATGCATCAATAATGAAGTCTACATCCATACCAATAGTATACACTGTTTCAAATAAAATACTTGAACAATCGGCGAGAAATTCATCGCTCATTTTGTTGAGCAAATCAATTCTCACATGTTTCATTGTTGAAAAGGTTCTATTCGTAGTAGGTGTTGAAACGAGCAGCATCAACACTAGATAATCAATCGACTAATCAATTTGCATTGTGTGTCCATCCCTGCAGACTAGCTGCTCTAGTAAATTTTTAAGGGAACAAACCAAATATTTCTTTTAGTCTTTTACATTTTAAACTTTTTAGAATTTTCGATTTCATTGTTTTTTTAAGACGCATAATCTTTGGGGCTAAAAATTTTAGGCTAAATTTATAGTAGTGATTTGAATATGTTCAACTTGATAATTTTTCTAGTTAAACCCAATCTTATCATAGAATAACACTGGGCGAATGTCTAAAATCAAAATTTTCATAAGGATTATAGTAACTACGGATCTAGAGGAGGGCTGGGCCGGGGCCTGGGGTGGCCACCCCCTGGATCCGCCAGTATAGTAGAAGACTAACAAATAATTAAAGCAATAAATGACAATTAATTACCACTTATATCCCCTGATCGGAGCTTAAATGACATATTAAAAGCATATATTAGTAAACGAATGGAAGGGATGTTATGTCTCCATTAAGATTCCACGAGTCTACAAAATCCTATAAGCGGATGTCAAAACAGAGCATTTGCCAAGTCACCCTTTGCTGAAAGCGCCGCACGTTTCGGATGGTTTTTTTGTCATTCTCTAAGCCTTCTCCTCTTTGGTGATCGGTCTTTGTCTTCTCATCCTTCCCCAGCACTGAAGATAAAAAAAAATTCCCGAATTCGCTGAACTCTTCGGTCTTTCTCTTCTCATCCTTCCCCAGACGCTGAAGATAATTCCCCCCCCCCCCCCCGAATTCGCTGAAGTTATTTTGGTTGCTCAGTGATCTAGGCTCCTCGCTGGATTCGACACCGCCATTCCTATCGGAAACCAAAAACTCCAACCACCCACCGGATCGCGAAGAACGCTTTGTCGACGTATTCGCTGGATTCGACGCTGCCATTGCAATCGGAAACCAAAAACTCCAACCACACACCGGAACGTGAAGAGCTCTTTGTCGTTGTATCTTTCAAGCCGCTATCTGTCAGTGTGCTCTCCGCCGCTCTATCTGCCACACTCGATGTGAAAGAGTAATCCCTCACTTTTGCCCTCTCTGTTCATTGAATCTGAGCTCAGCCTCAACCCTCAATTTTTCCCACAATCAAATTGAAATCCATATCATCATCGTCTCGCTGTCGCTACTTCCCCGACTGTCATCGGGAATCGACGCCACCGAAGGCCTTGCTGTGGTCGTCGCTCTCTCGCTGCCCAATCTGTCTACCGCCGTCTCTCTCTTGCCCCCTCTCGGCCGATCTGCCAAGCTATCGTAACTGATGTGTTCGTCGTTGTTTCGCAATTTTGCCGCTGCACAATTTTTGGATTCTTCTTGGTAAGCTGTAGTCGTTTCGTGTGTTGCCTTTGCGTTTGTTAACTATGTTTAGTTCTTTGTAATTGCCTTTTTCCAAATGGAAATCTTTGCAATTGCTTATTTCCCTGTACCAATTATGTATTTCAGTACTCAACAAATCCATATCCTATTAAGCTGGAGTCCGACAGTGTCTTGGTAGATTAAGCGCCATCAAGTTCTTTATTAGTTCCCCTTGCGTCTGCTGCCTCCCTGCGTCTGCTTCAGCAATGCCGCCGAAACGGCCTCGCAACAACACTTCTTATGGCTCAAACAATCCTCCAAAGAATTCTGTCTCTGCTACCACTCGATGTATACTGTTTGTAGTTTATTTGAAGTTGCATTTGTTCTTAGGTGGCCTGTTTCTTATTGATAGTTATCAGCAAGTTGAAAGCTCACCTCAGTTTCGTTGATAGGTATATTGCAACTATATCTAGAAGGCGAAGGAAGTTCCTTTTGGTGGTATGAAAGATGCATCGAGTTTGTGTTATGTCAGTCCCAGGTATGTCTCTGTTTGGCTCTAGCTTATCTTTTGTTGTTATGTAGTTAGCATTGTGAGTTCTATATGTTGTGATTAGCAGAAGCATAAGGTGAGGGGTTAGGACAAAGAAATGCTTTGAGTGGTCTATGAAAGTGTTTCACGTATTTATTTATTTATATGACTTTGGTTTACTATTGAATGTACTATCACTTTGGATTTTAGATTTGAAATGGTGTATTTTTCATAGATTTACTGTAAATTTGGTTAAATTGAGTTTGGTGGAATTTGTTTTTATATGGGGATCCAAGTACACATATACATTAAAAATGCATCCTCTCAATTTATTAATACCACCATATCCCATGTACGTACAACCCATGAATAGAAGTCAGCTGATAATTCCCTCCTGCCCTTACTCCTCTCTTTCACTGTGCAATTTGTTGATTCAGCAAATCGTGGTGATTTTTTAGTTATGGTTGAATATTGTTCAAGTAGTGGGAAAGGAAGGTATACGCTATGTTACTTATACTTGAGTTTCTGCAGTTATATATTATCTTTTTGTTTTGATGTCCAACTGGAGTTTCTTTTATTTTAGTTTCTTTTGTTGTGTGATGAACTTTCAGCCTTTGATTACAAAATACATAGGGGGATCCCCTTCTCTGTTATAAGCAGTTTGTAATAAGCAAAGGCAATGCAATTTTATATTCTCGGTGTTTGGATTTCTGTACTTAACTTATTATCAATTTGTTTTTATTGTACACATGGAGTTTCTTTATGATTGAATGCTTTTTTATGTGATGACTATGAGGAAGACAAGTAGTATTGGCATAAGTTTTGTTTTGGAAAATTTTGTTTGGTTAAGGCCGTATTTGGATCTTTATATTTAGTAGTATGTTGCTCATCTACGGGTTGTTTCTAGATGCTTTAGGGGTTGTTTGCTTCAAGGATTTGGTACATGGATTTGGTACCAAAAAACCAACTATCAAGGATTTAGGTACAATCCGTTGTTTGCTTGCACCTTTTTTGGAGACCAAATCCGTGGGGCCCACGGATTTTAAGTGTCTAAATCCGTGGACCCCACGGACTTATAAATCCCACATGTTGATGTGGGATTTGGAATATGGCATAAATCCTTGATGAGATTTTACCCATATACCCTCATGCACTTTTAATGTTCCAAGGTTGCCCTCAAATTTAACTATTATACATTATAATTAACAATAAATGAATAATATAAACGTTCAATTAATGTGCATACTTGAGTTAGATGTTTTATATAATTTCTTGTGTTCTAGTTTTCTTTGACCTTTTCATGGAACGTGTAATTCTTTGTTCTCCCGATTCTAATATATGTTGTTATATGTTACTTTTGAAAAGGAGGACAAAGAATTGGTAATTGATTATGTTACGTTAAAAGTTAAAACGGAATTTTCTCGTTTATTATTATTGTCCATGTGGCAACATTATGCTTATTAGTATGTATTGTCCTTGTTTTGTGTACATATCATAAACATGTCAAACATATAGAAAAGGGCAGTAATGTAATTTTTGACTTCAAGTAGTAAATCCCACACCTTTAAATCCATGATAAAAACATCCCAACAAACAAAGGATTGTTACAAATCCATGATGCCTCAAATCCTTGATAAATCCTTTGGTTTTTAAATTACAAAACCCTCATTTTTAAATCCATGAAGCAAACGACCCCTTAGTTTTTACTGAATTTGAAGCTTTAGATTGTGTGGAGAAATGTGATTCTGTTTATATGATTGGCCAGGTAATCAGGTTCCATTCGTGCAAGAAGAACCAGAGTTGGGGGCATAAATTGTGAGACTGAGTTTATGCTCTGAGAATTTTGCAGCGATATAAATGAGGAACCTGATTGCCTCGATTGGTCGAAGCGACGAGGATAATGATGGGAAAGGAGTAGTTTGGGTGGCTGCGAAGATCTCTAAATTTGAGTGGCGCTGGCTAAATTTTTGTTTCCAAGCGTATCACTTTAGCATGTCAAGTCTGGTAATTTAATCTCATTATTCTAGGGGCAATTTGGAGGGTTTGGATTTACAAAGACAACTTCAATCAAGATGAATATACTGTTTCTTTATTGGCTGAAACCTCTTCTAAACCAATCATCTAAGAGAGAACAAACAAAAAGGAATTACAACCTCTGCATGTGACCTTCCGGTGAGGTCTGCTCCTCAAACAAGGGATGGGAGAAAGTAAAATTTGGAGAAGAAGCAGTAGGGAAGAAAGGGGAGCAGAGGGAGGGGAAGAGGAAAAGTCACCCAGAAAAAAGTAGGAGAATGAAGAAGAAAGGATAGAGATTTGGGAAGCATGGATTATATTAGGATAGAAATCATCAGTTGTGAAACCTTACTAGCGTTTTGGGTGGGGAAGGGAGTTCGTAGCTTCGAGCCCTTTGAAAACATGTAGGGATATTACTTCCGGTTATCAAATTATGTATCAGATTTTACTTTATGGTTTTATTTTTCCTTTTGTTATGCTACCTTTATACTTTGATCAGTAGCTTCTTTGTAATCAGTAAAATGATTTGTAAGAGCAACTGAAACTATCAGCAACAAAATGGAGAATTGAGGCTTAAGTTGTTACTCTATTTCAATTATGCACATCTCTCGCTTTCTTTGCCGCCAATGGAAATTGTCACCACCAGCAGATAACTTTTTCTTGATTCTGCCAAACCCATACTTTTCAAACTTGGACCAATGCTTACAGATGGAATAGTCGAAGTTACGAATTCAAATTGCTTCAGTTCTATTACACTATTACCTCAGTATTTTTCACTATACCGGCCAACGGGCCCGGCCCATTGCTAGTTCAAGTATAGGCTCGTGACTCGATAATAACTTGGAGGAAAATGGAGAAGGAATGTCTTCAACCTTTCTCCCCGGCTTCACCCATCTCCCATACTTGTTCAGCACCAATCCCTTGTAAGGCAAATGATACCAAAACGTGACCCACAATCCAGTGATCCACCCACCCACATAAGTGCGGGTATAAACTTTATCAATCCACAGAACTGGCGGAGCCAATATGCAGCAGTGGCGAGTCCCCACGGCGCCGTTCCCTCCTCGCACTTCTAACACCAGAATCCCTTTCATGTCATTCGAGATCGGCTCTGCTCCCACCGCCTCCTACGGCAGCGGCGCCATCGGTGGAGGCCCCGTTCCCTCCGCTGCTAATTTCGATGAAGAACCGCCTCTTCTCGACGAGCCCGGGCGTGGGTATCAGGTTCGTCATATCTGGAGTTTTCGTGATCTGGGCCCCCATGGCTTGCACCAATCTCATGGTGGCAGTGGCCAGAGGCGGAGAATAACATCGTTGGTTGATTGCGGATTGAAGGAGGAGAACATTGTGGTGTTCATGTTCGACGATATCACTAACAGCGAGCTTAATCCCAGGCCCGGGACCATCATCAACCACCCGCAAGGCGACGACCTTTACGCCGGCGTCCCCAAGTTTGCTTCCGACGATGCGAATCCCGACGGCCGGCAGTTACACTTTAGGAGGCTTCAGTTTTGGGTCCGACGGTTACAATTCCAGAGCATCGGTTACAAATCCAGAGGCGATTCCAACTGCGATCCGTTTCAGATATGCTTGTTCTTTCTCTTTCCTCCCTAATTTTAATATTTATTTATTTCCAGAATTATAATTCTAAAATCTTTTAATTTATTTTCCTTAACTGCTCGTATTTATAAAGTTTTCTTTAACTTTACTGTAAAAAAAAAAGTTTTTCTTTTGACCTTGTTAGCTTTTGATTCGGAGTATCTGACTAAGCCTCAATGGCTTGTTTAAGTCCATTCGGTGGAGCTTAGTTGTCCTCCTCTATGGGCGCTTGTGTGTTTGTTTTTTTTTTTGCAGGGGGCACGTAGTTTTCCCTTGACCATACAAGTATCCATCCATTATGATTCAATCTCGTGATGTGGCGCACGCGACAGGTGGAGCGATCTTGGAAGAGATTTGTTTGGCGTCTGTGTCTTTTAATTTCTTTATTTGTACTTTTACGCAGAGGTTGTACAACAGGGATGCCCACTTAGTGGCTTCTAATGCCCTTTCATCGACAGCTCGATATTGTGTCGACTGTCGCGTCTGGTTTTCTAGCGTCCTGTAATATCTATTCCATTCCCGATCTATGGAAAAAAAAAACGAATGGAAAGGGTAGAGAAAATTTAATAAAAAGTGACGGAAGCTGTAAAAGAAACGAACAAGACAAAAGAACTGGCCACAAACTGGCAAGTGGCAACAAAGGGTGATACTTATCACATTCATACAACCGCTACCGCTGGGGAGGGAGCAGCAAATTCAAGTTTATTTTATCGTGGCAGGCCACGCGTCAACGAGAGGGAAAACAACTCCCCACCTTGTGTTCCACGGCGGAAGTAGATGCAGGAAGCGGCGGCCACGCTACCGCCGACGAAGCTACACAGCCAATTCTGCAGCCACTAATTTTAACAGAATACAACAAAGTTGCAAAACAAAACAATCAAGATTAATTTGAAGAGTGCACAAATAGCAATTAAGAGATGCGTAAAGCCGATCTGAACCTAGAAATACTCCAGACCTGATCAGAACCAAAGTACCAAAAACTGCAAAATATAGAGAAGTATAGGGGATAAAGGAAGTAACTCCATATGAAAAGAGAAAAATAACCTAACCATAGGACTGCCCAAATCGGAAATCACTAATTGGTGAACTTAAAGTATGACCAAGCAGCAAAATTGGATGATGAATCCACAAGAAAAACAAAAACCGAATCCGCAACGCAGAACAGCGTTAAGGGCAGTAACGACAGTCGCTCACTAGCAAACTGATGAGAGCCAGAGGCCTCTTGCCCCAAAGATGAAAAGGGTCAGGACACCGGATTTGCGGTTGACTACGAGAGAGAGAGTTCCTTTGTCGTCGCCGTAACTTGGGTGTTGCTGCTGTTGGTTCTTGGCAGATGCTTGATAAAATTCCATTATATATGATAAAAAAGAATTACTTGCTCTCTTTCTGTTGGTGGAGTCGAGCGCGAGACTTGGTATGGATTTCTTCTTCAGAACATGTGAAACCCTAAATCGAGAGATGAAATGAGACAGTTAAATCGATTACCAGAAAAGAGTAGTTTTAGATTGTTGGTTTTGGAAATGCTTGTTAGAGCAAACGAGAGCTAAACACAATTGGGCTTGAAGCCCAAGAATTTCGTTGAGTGACCAAACAGGCTTTGGTCAAAGCCTTTCTCTTCAGCGACCCGTCACTTAGTAGCTAGTTGAACCCTTCTTCCTCCTCTGCTCAGATCCCCTGTTTCAACTTTCCCTGCAAAACAACACTCAACCAGAAACAGAGACTTTCTAAAGTCTGGATTAGCAAACAACTGAAGGGTAAATTGACACACATGGAATTTTTACGTGGTTTCCGATACTGATGAATTAGTATCGACTAGTCCACGGCCAAAGGAGTTCATCTTGAACCCTTTGGCGTTTCACTATGATGTTCAGTTTCCGATTCACACAATACAGCAAGTGATCTCTGGGTGACTCCCTGTCACTGATCAGAATCCCCTTCAAAGTTCTACTCCCTGCAGAACTGTTACGTGCACGTTTTGTAGAATATAATTTAGGGAGAAATATCGGGATAGGAAGAAGAGAATGGAGGAGATATAGATAGATTGAAGAAGAGAAGAGTTCTCCTTATTGGCGAGAACGGAACCCCTAACCTTTTTCGAGGAAAGCCAACCTCCCAAATTAACACGTAGATGTGTAAATCCCTTTTCTGATTATACTTGATTCATTCCCTAATTCTACCTATCTACTACATTAAATACAGAAGTAAACCCAATCCCCTCTAATTCCAACGTAAAAGACCTAACTCTAATTATTTCTTCCTTAATTCTAGCTAACAACTAACCCACTATTTACCCACTACTTCACGTCATTAACCCACCCTTAACAACCCATAATTAATTAATAATACTAATTAAATATATGCACATGACAAGAACCTTGATCTTGATATCACACTACTAACTCTCGAGCTATCTCCCTGACAACTCTCTTTTTCTTTTTCAATTACAAGTACTCTCCGTAGTAATTGAAAACTTCTCGAAAAAGATAGTTGCTCGTCCCACTATTATATCCTTTATCTACTCTTCTTTATCGACCGTTGATGCTTTCATTTGAGTGATCAAATCTCTTGATTGCCGCATTCATCTATATATCAAGGGATTTTTCCAGAAATAGCACTGTTTAAAAAAAAATCTAAAATAGCACCCAACTCCGAAAAATTACAAAAATAGCACCATTTCCCAAAAACCGCTCCCTACCAGTGCGGTTTAGGCAAAAAACCCCACCATGCGGTCAGTTTTGTTTTTTTTTTTTTTTTGAAAAATCCTAACCTAGGTGGAAACTTCAAACAAACGTATCTTTGTGTTGGGGAATCCGATGTCGCGAATTTTTTTTATTCCGCATAACTTTTTGAGATCTTGCAAGCCGAAGACTGCCGAATGTGGTTTGGTCCTGCCTTCGTCCCAAAAAATGTCGTTTGCTACCCCGAACGAGCTTATTTCCGATTTTGTCAAACTTTGCTCAACCATAACTTTGTGCTCCAAAATCCAAACGACATGAATTTTTTTTTATTTCGCATAAATTTTTAAGGAATAAACTTTTATCATAGACATAATTTCAAAATGTACGTGGATTGCTGAGAAGGGAAGGTAAGCTATTCCCAAAATCCTGTATATCCAAAATAATTCATGTTTTGAAAATTCATTCTAGTAAAAATTGTAGTCCTTAAAAAGTTATGCGAAATAAAAAAAAAATTCATGTCGTTTGGATTTTGGAGCACAAAGTGTTGGTTGTCCAAAGTTTGACGAAATCGGAAAAAAGCTCGTTCGGGGTAGCAAACGACATTTTTTGGGACGAAGGCGGGACCAAACCACATTCAGCAGCTTCGGCTTGCAAGATCTCAAAAAGTTATGCGGAAACAAAAAAAATTTGCGACGATCGGATACCCGAACACAAAGATACGTCCGTTTGAAGTTTCCACCTAGGTTAGGATTTTTCAAAAAAAAAAAAAAAAAAAAAAAACTGACCGCATGGTTGGGTGCGATCTGCAACCAAACCGCATGGTGGGGGTGCGGTCTGCAAAACCGCCCCCTAGGGGTGCGGTTTTCATCGAAAAACGCGCCCCTAGGTGGCGCCGCCTAAACCGCACTGGTAGGGAGCGGTTTTTGGGAAAGGGTGTTATTTTTGTAATTTTTCGGAGTTGGGTGCTATTTTTGGAATTTTTTTTTTAAACAGTGCTACTTTTGGAAAAATCCCCTATATCAAGACTTCCCTTTTCTTGGTTCTTGCTGCTTATTTTCTTTCAAAATTTTCTTGGTGCCACTGACCAAACTTCTCCCAACACTTTCATCTCCATATAGGCAAGTCCCTCTCGCTAAGTTTGTCTTGGAGATGGCTTAGTATTATAGAAATGTAAGATTTGCGAAGGACAGAGGCAAATCATTACTTGCTGCTAAACAGAAGCATCAAGAGGGCTAAAGAAAAGGTTGTTATTGCTTGTTTATTTAATATACGATTAATATGACAAACCTTTTGCAGCAAAAAACATAAAAATAAAAAAAGAGCTTGGGATAATGACCATGTGCAACATTGCTAATTGCCTCCGATTGTAAAATTCATTTAATTTTAGACACGAAAAATAAATTGAAACTACAAATATTTTTGGAATTTTTTTTTTAAACAGTGCTACTTTTGGAAAAATCCCCTATATCAAGACTTCCCTTTTCTTGGTTCTTGCTGCTTATTTTCTTTCAAAATTTTCTTGGTGCCACTGACCAAACTTCTCCCAACACTTTCATCTCCATATAGGCAAATCCCTCTCGCTAAGTTTGTCTTGGAGATGGCTTAGTATTATAGACATGTAAGATTTGCGAAGGACAGAGGCAAATCATTACTTGCTGCTAAACAGAAGCATCAAGAGGGCTAAAGAAAAGGTTGTTATTGCTTGTTTATTTAATATACGATTAATATGACAAACCTTTTGCAGCAAAAAAAATAAAAATAAAAAAAGAGCTTGGGATAATGACCATGTGCAACATTGCTAATTGCCTCCGATTGTAAAATTCATTTAATTTTAGACACGAAAAATAAATTGAAACTACAAATACATTCCTATTAATTCATTCTGATTTTTTTGCTTTTCACTGAAATAAGCTTATATCCTTCCACTTCAAAATAAATGATAAATACACTAAATAATATATAAATCAGCAACTAATTGGCTGAAAGAAAAGGTTAGTGGGTAAATTTCTCTAACTCTTTTTTAAAATCTCCAATAAACGAGAAAATCTTGGGTGGGGCTGGAGCACCAACTAGGATTGGTGATGTGGTGCACCCGCCCAATGCCCTCCCGCCACATGTCCTGTAGTTATTAGGCATTCAATTATTAAAACTAAAAGCCTTTTATTGCCTTTCTGTTCCGGGAGACAACTTCAAACCCTTTTTCTTTCCTTTTTAATAGTTTTTTTTTAATTGACCGCTTGAGCCCATTTCCTTTCATTTTTTATGGTTTTTTTTATTGTAGGGATATATCTCTCTCTCCCTTTCGATGGAACCAAGAAACAGAAATAGCCACCCACCCTCTCCTTGTTCTTCAATCTCGTCTCTCTCCCCTGCCTAATCCCATTGTTGCTCCACAATTTCAAATTAGTTTTATGCTTCATTTTCCTTTGGAGACGGCGACAAAAAGGAATCGGAAGGAAGACACATGCGGTTGCAGCCATCGATCTGTTGTTCGTCGATTCCTCTTTTGGATTCCTATTTCAATTTCTGGTCTTATGTTTCTCAACTGGAATTGTTGCATGTACTTAGTTAGTTCATTGATCGCTAGGTCTCTTATAAACCAAGGGTGCGTATAGTAGTTCTTCATGTGCTTGGTGCGGCTGTTGCAGGATGGGGTAATAGAAGGATTTTTATTTTGAATGCAAATGGTGGGTTTTTGGCAATGAGTGGTATTGAGCTGTGCTATTTTCCATGAATTTTGATAGTCTCTTTTTGTTCAAGCATTATAATGAAGATGATCGATTACTTACCAGAGCCTGATTTGTTAAAACATAACACTATTCTTATGCAACCATTACCAGACTTTGCTTGTGAAAAAACAGCAATCGAACTTACAACATGTTCTTTCTATGGCCAAAATGAAAACATACCCAGGATCTTTTCCTCAATGGCATTTTCCTCAGAATGTAAAAAGTATATGGGTCAAGCGAAATAGTACACAAAACGGTATCCATAATCCAGAAAGTGTCCATGAAAAAACAAAACTTCAGAAGGACGTCAACATAGTGGCTATCAATTTCCTGATCTCGAGTTCTGCATAAATTCCAAAATACCATTGGTTATGGGTTATACACAAAAAATAGTGCAAGGTTCTTTTGTTGGAGAAATACCATACCCCATTGTCGTATCTTAATTGCCACATTGGATTTTCTGAGTAGAATTGAGGAAAAGAACCCTGTAGAAATAAAGAAATAAGTACTGGTAAGCTAATATACCTAATCAATTGGCTTGATTAAGCACACACAGCTTGTCTAAAAGATTACCAACCTGGTGAATCATTGGGAAAATACCTGGCATGGCATTCATGAAAGAAGTATTTGGAATAGCCTGTAATAACATTTCAATTTAACTATATAAGTAAAACTAAGTATAATAAAATAATGACTAGCTGACCAAATATTTGGAGTATTACCGATGGATATGATATTGTGCAATTCCCAACTCCACTAGCTTGAGGTGCACTAAATGGCAGGGACTGAAGATAAATCTAGATGAGATTGGGCATAACAAATAAAAGTACAAATTAAGAAGTCATTTTTACATACTTACTGCAATGTTGGATATTGTGCAGTTCGTTCAAGATTCATATGCTCATGCGTGGTATTTGATTGAGACTTTTTTCCTGCAAGACAAAATTATAGAATAAGAATATCAAACAAGGATGTTGAATGAGTAAGGGAAAATATATTCTTACTCGATGAGACTTTTGTTGACTTTGGTTTGCGCTTTTCAAAGTGTCCTTTTGCTCTTCCGTAATTAAGTCCTTTAGTCTGAACACACGGAGGATCTAATATCGGTTGCTCGTTTGTGTCAATTTCATCAGCCTCTTTGTCAATATGACCATCCAAGTTCACCTTTTCCAACTCCTGTTCTAGCTGTATTTCAAGACTTAACATACTTTATTGAAATATTTTTCTGTTGCTTTCTGAGTGTTGGCTTTTGTATATGAGATTGCTAGCTATGCGCATCATAGAGTTTCTCCATACAATCTTTGCGTCTTCATTAATCTTCATAGAAACATATCCTTTCTCATATCCCATCATCCCTTTTTTTGCTTCTTTTGTCCAGCGTTGCAAAATATAATTGTTAGGCAGTTTTGTGATATTTTTGACACTAAGGATGCGTAAAGCATGGCAACAAAGAATTCCTTTCACCTCAAACTTCTTGCAGGAACAAAGAACTTCATTCTTCTGTTCATGAAAATGAACAATACGAACTCTATTGTTCCCGTCTTCTTTCACCTCATAGGTAGATACTAAGTCACTAGTATTGACTTCTCCCCAAATCGTTGCAAGACTAGAGATAAATTCTTTCTGAAACACCATATACATAGTTCTGGTATAAACTTTGGCAGCATGCTCTAAGATACCACACTTAACCAATGGCTTTGGAGTACCTTGTTTGCATCGAAAGTCCTCTTCCATCTCCCTCGATCGCATACCTCTAACTAAATTGTCAAACTGAGTAGTGAATTCAGTAAGATATGTTGTCTTCCCTGAAATGCCATTCAAAACATTATTTGTGCTTTCACTTCTTTGAGATGATTTGATACCAGCAGAGAAAAAGTCATGACCAAAGACAGTACTCCACTTCGAACGAATCTGATACATGCTGTTAAGCCAAGTATGACCAGAAAGATCATATATCTCAATCATCTTATCCCATGTTTCTTGAAATTCCACCTCTGACTCACAGCCTGTACAACACTTGTTCCACAATCATTGAAACTTTTGATCCTCATTCAGATCCCCTAAATGTGAAGGAGCATTTTTGCTGATGTGCCATAAGCATAAACGATGTTTTGCAGTTTTGAACACTTCTCTAATTGCTTTTGCCATAGCAGCATCTTGGTCTGTGAAGATAGTTGCAGGCTCTATATTGCCCATTGAGTCTAGAAAGGACTGAAACAACCACTTAAATGAAGTTGCAGTCTCATCCAACAGAAATGCACAACAAAACATAACATTGCTCCAATGATGGTTCACACCGACAAATGGAGCACAAATGAGATTATACTTGTTGGTGCGGAAGGTAGTGTCAAATACCATCACATCTCCAAAAGCAGCATAGTCAATTTTTGATCTTCCATCTCCCCAGAAAAAGTTGGTCAACCGATTCTTTTGATCAACTTGCACTGCATAAAAGAACATTGGATCTTCTGCTTTCTACTTTTTCAAATAATTCATCAGACTTTGAGCATCCCCTGCTTCAACTTTCACCATCTTTTGTCTATGCACATGATTAGAACAGTCTTTCTGTAAAAACCCAACATTTTCATCTCCTCCATGTTCCGTGGAAATATATGAATAAACATCTTTTGTCCTAAGTCCTGCATTCTTCATCGTATCAATTACACCTGCCTTGTCCTTTGAAATCTTACGACCAGATTTCAGCAAATGTCTCTCTGATGGTGTAGCAAGATCATGATTATGCGTGGTCTTGAATTCAGTCACTTTCCACACATCATTCTCAATGCTGAATCGGATAAAAGCTCTACACCCAGTTCGTGTTTCCAACCTATTGACCTTTTTCAACTCAAGTGGATTTTCATCATTCGTGATTCCTTGCTTGGAACATAGAAACTCACGTTGAATAATTTTTCCAGTTTTACCAGAATACCTGTATCTACCTCGACGTACGCTGAAACCAAGTCGTAAAGCGTAGCTATTGTATAGATTATAAGCTTCATCTTCATTAGACACGGTTTTTCCAAATAGAATGTCATCATTACCATCCGCCACCCGGACTGGAAATAGTGCAACATCATTGTTTTCGCTATCCATTATATCAATCCCAACAGTGGCTTTCTGATATATAGTACATAACATGCAATAAGGAATACAATTATAGAGAGCCAAATATAATACTATTACAAACCAGCAATATCATGCAATAAGGAATAAAATGAATAGACAAATGCAACACATGAACTACTACGGTTAAGAAGATACATACCTGGAGCGATAACTATGCACTAGAAACTTCAATTGGGATCGCGTCGTGCTGAAGTGGAGAATTAATATCCCGGACCAAATCTGTATTTAGGTCGTATAGTAATGTCGGCGAGATCGATATATTCCAGTTGTAGCCCGAGAACTCTTCGAGGATCGGTGGGGAACAATGGACGGCGAAACCCTTTGCAGCTTTACTCGTTCTTTTATTTTTTAGGGTTTATCATTGAGTTTTTTATTTTTACAGCAGTGGGGTTTATTTAATTAATCATGCTAAACGTAAAAGAAAAGTCTCCGCAAGCAAAGCAAAGCCCGCACAACCCAGAAAAATAATATAATTTTTTTAGTTTTGATTAATTGAACTACAGGACATGTGGCGGGAGGGGATTGGGCGGGTGCACCACATCACCAATCCTAGTTGGTGCTCCCGCCCCACCCAAGATTTTCTCCCAATAAACCAACAATTAACTCACCGAACTCTATTGGGTTCTTCTCGTATTTCATCAGTGCAAACACCCTTTTTCATCAAGTCGTTGCCGCCTTCTTCTAGCAATAGTCTCCCATCCTCAATGTCGTCATCCCAGTTATGAATCATGATCATGGACATAGGCCGCTTCTTCCATTATCGTCGGCCATAGTTGGATTTTTGAAAACATATTATATTATTGTTACAAGCGTGAAGGCGGATTGAAAGGTGGTTCTATTTTAAGTTCGTTATACTTGCTTCTTCCAGATTTTGATCGATACATTTTTTCTTCATCTAGTGTATTACATTTTATTTCGTTAACATGTACTACTTTCTTTGATTCATGGACGCAGTCAGTAGACGTTGTGGTTAGGTATTAGATCCGATGAATCAGAGAAGCTTGGAGTTTGATTTTATTCATTGCCGACTCTCCCAGTGCACCATGAACATAGGCCACCGATTACTATCGAATATTTGGAAAATAGAAAAAGGAGAAGACAGAGATATTTGTTTCACTTACTGAAGTGATATGGAAGGAGATAATTTGGTAGTAAAATCCAAAATGATAACTACCAAATATTCCAACGACAGAGACTTACCTATTTGCTGAAAAAGGGACTAAGATTAACTATAAAAATGGCTTCAAATACTAATATATAAGAATTATATAAAAGGAAGTAATTAATTTTATATGAAATTCATAATAATTTAAAAGAAATATAATAATCACTTAAATTTACTATTACAAGCCAAAATATCTGCCACTTGTAATAACATTAGTGGCAAATACTTACCACTTTAAAATGAAATTTAAATAAAAATAATCTTTAAAAAGTGAAATTAGCAACTAAAATATATGCCTCCAATTTCTTAATTAGTTACAAATTTTATTTGCCATATAAGTAGCGTATGTGCCTCTAAAATATATTTGCCACTTTCTGGTATGCAAGTAAATCCCAGTAAATGTGAACTCTTTTTTGGGGGTTACCGGGCCCTGAACAGAAGGTGAGGGCTGATAGGTATGGTTTCTCTCTAGGAAAGTTTCCTGTTAGGTATATGGGAGTTTCCCTCTCTTCAGGGAAGCTCATTGTTTCAGCTTGCAAGCCCATGATTGATAAGATTGTTGCTCGGGTTAGTAGCTGGAAGTCTCGCTTTCTGTCATATGCTGGTAGGGTGGAGCTTGTTAGTTCAGTCCTATATAGTTTGCATCACTTTTGGATGACTGTCTTTATTCTCCCAAAGGTAGCGATCCGTGAAGTGGAAGGCATTTGTAGCAATTTCTTGTGGGGTGTTGGTCAGAGTGGTAGAATGAAAGCAAAGATAGGCTGGAAGCATCTTACTTACCCCAAAAAGGAGGGGGGACTGGGGTTGAGAGACTTGGAAACCTGGAATACTGCTTGTGCTACTAGGCATATTTGGCTTCTGTTATTGCAACATGGTTTTCTGTAGGTTTCATGGATCAATGCCTATAAGCTGAAAGGCCAAGATTTTTGGCTTTATGGTGGTAATTCTGGTTCTTGGAACTGGAAAAGGATTCTGAAAACGAGGCAAAAGGTCTGTGCATTCTTCCATCAGCAGGAGCAGGACATTTATTGGGATCAAGACAAAATGGAGACCTTTTCAATAAGGAGAGTCTGGGAAACATTAAGGCCAAGGAGGCAGCAAGTAGCTTGGTTCAATCTATTATGGAAGGGAAACTCCATCCCTCGGAATAGGTTCATAGCTTGGCTAATCCTAAATAGAGCGGTTACTACGAAAGAGAAGATGCTGAAATGGGGATTTGATGGTAGTTTGGGCTGTGTGTTCTGCAATTGCTCGTCGGAAACTTCAGATCTTTTGTTTGCATAGTGTTTGTTGTACATGAACATGATTTGCAAGCTGTTTGGAAGATCAGGGGTATTTACCTCTCTGGATAGCGAGCTGGGTTGGCTTCAGCAAGTTTTTGGGTCTCATAATGTAAAGTCTCAAGTGGGGCGAGCCATGTGGCACAGTTTGGTGAGCGTGGTGCGACGAGAAAGGTGCAGCAGAGTTCATTTGGGGCAATGCAGGGACTGTGGTGTATTGTGCAAGGTTGTAAGGGAGAAAATTATAGGCTTGTTTGGTAGGAATATGTATGACTCCTTTTATGTTTCATAGTATACAGATTGAAAAGTTTGATTTTTTATTTCTTAAATCCTTAACTAGCAAGGGTGTTGCTAATACTACTTTTTGAATAAAAAAATATAAATACTTACAAAATATATATTAATAATATGCAAAAACACTATCATCCTTTTCCTAATGTAATGTTATCACATTGGTGTAATGTAATTGTTATTAGCATTAACAACAAGATTCTCGCCTAGTGACGTAAAATTTAATATGTAATTTCTATTACGTAAATATTGATTATACATGGATGACCATTCATCATATTATATACATTCATTATATGCATATTTATGTGTAATATTGGATGTAAATTGTAACCCCTCACCCCATTTTGAATTTATCCTTAATTGCTCACTAATTTTGTAGGCGCCCGATGTACTTTTACTTCTATTATCTGTAATTTTTTCAGTGGTTTCGGATTTCTACTTTTCATATTTATTTATTATTGTTATCTATTATCCGTCTTTCATCTAATACGAGGGGCGCTCCATTTAATCCATATTTTAATCATGATCAACAATAATGTCAAACAACGTCGTAATTTCATCATCGATTGGAAAATCGTATTCATGACCATATGACTTTGATTGACCAATAATTTTCAACATCATAAGTTGTACATAATTTAAGCTAGCGTACACCACCTTACCGTACACCTATCGAGTTTTGCTATTTAGACCATGAATTAACGAAGTTTCAGACATGATACTATACCATAGCCTCTAATGGGTTAATCCAGTATAATTTTCTAATCCAAATTGTATAATTCATTTAATGCAAATATAATAACCAACGGTTCTTATTTGTCAAAATATATTAAAGTACAACTAATAGGTGTGAAAGAATGTATATTACACCTCCAGTGTACGCTAGCCTTTGCCATCATTATATTAAAGTACAACCAAACTATATTCTACTATATTTCTGTATTACCTTCAACATTTTATAAATGACATAAAAATGTTAGTTATAGAGACACTTTGTGTTTGCTTCACATTACTATCCAATATTAAATATGTGACTGACTGTAATTGGAATTGTGTGATAACTTAATAACATAAAGGCGCCTTGTTGCGAAATTAGTACAACAAATGAATTTATAGGACATCAATCAGGGTATGATTCCGCATTGGTTTTACAGAACACCAGTCCAAGTACGTCCCCCGCTGGTATATAGGACATCGGTCCCGCATTGGATGTACAGGACACCAGTCTAGGGACGATCTACGGTGGTATACAAGACATGTATTGTACTACCCGAGGAGTGTATGACTTGGCAAATTAAGAAGTTAAAAAGCACTGAATCAACCTAACCATGCATGTGATTGAATCCTTCTATAAAGATTAATTCTGATGTGGTTAAGTGATGACTACCTATGGTGTGATATAAGAAATTTGCATGTCGATGATGATGGTTATGGGATGGTTTTTTATGGTATTTTCTATAGGGTTGGTAATCGGTCAGTTACCGGTTTACCGGTAACCGACTAACCGATTAAGAGTATACCAGAATCCGGAAATTTGCATCCGACTACCGATACAGATGTACATCCGGTATACCGAGATACCGGATTGCCGGTAACCGATTACCAATTCGGTTTAACGGATGTAGACGCTCGCTGCCCGCCGGTGGTCTCCGGAGCTTAAGAGGCGAATCAATCTCGCCGGCAAGAGGAAGAGAGATCAGCTGAGAGAGGGAGACAGTTGCATGGCGCCGGATCTGGAGCTTTGCTGACCCAGGTTGAAAATGTAGAAGAAGGGTCGCTGACCCAGGTCGAAGATGAAGAAGGGTCGCTGACCCAGATTCGCTGACCAAAGTCGGAGATTCGCCAAATCTGATGATCTAGTTCAGTTCGTGGGAGGGACTGTGATCAGAGATGTTTATCGATGCGCTTGAATCTTGACGGTGGCTGCGGGATGATGATTTGCTGGCGGTGGGATTATAATTTGCTGGCTGCGGGATGATGATTTTCAAGAAGAAGATGGAGAAAAAATTGGGATTTTTAACTGCTGTATGCATCTGTAAACAGAAAAAAGTCAATGAGAGAGGAGGGGAAGGAATCAAAGTGGTTGCCCGAGATGGGAGGCAGCAATGAGAGAGAGATCGGGACGGAAATATAGAGGAGAGAGGGAGGTACCGGTTAGTTTATCGGTATTCGGTTAACACACCGGTTAGTGAAACCGGTTATTGGTAAACCGGAAAGGACAACACACT